CAAGTTCCGTTATCAAAAACCCCGGAATTATTATAATTCCGCTAATAAATTTGCAATTTCAAACACATTGTGTGTTGTTTTATCATTAAACAACATGTAATTGGGAATTACATGATGTTTTCAAAATAACTTTCAGTTACATGAAACGCTGGTTTCAACATGACCAAAGTCTCTACAGCGCAACATGTATAGGTAAAAATTTTAAACAGAGATAATAATCAAATTTGCCAGGTTGTTTATATTTTAAATAAGCTAACTTATTATAACACAAAGAGTTAAGTTCACTATTAAACCAATTTAAAAAAGTTTACTTAGAAATTGCGAAGATACTCACACCCACAAAAGAATTATTGTTAAACAAAGACATTTTTTTCAATAAATCATCAAAATACGGCAAGACTTCTCGGGGACTTTTGAAAATTCCTACCATTGTTCGAGTGTCGCCAACATAGGTACGGTAATTTTTATGAGTTGAATATTTCGAAAATTTGGTCTGCTATATTGCTTGAATTTTTCGTCGATTTTTAGGTAACTTTTCCAGAAGAAATATTTCACCTTTTTGAGGCACTTTCAAAACTAAATACGGACATTTTTTATCGGTTTTGACCTCAGAATTCATTTGTGGTTTTATTTATTCGAAATTTCCTCCCATTTTTCCAAAATCGCCCATGTGAGTATTCTTAAAAAAATTTATTTTCACACCGAATATTTAGAACATCTTGGTCAGGGACTAGAAACGCGGTAAATTTTTCGAGTCAATACGTCGAAATGTAAATCCTAATTTTTTTTAGGAATTTTTTGAGACTTTTTTCAAAAACTCAAATTTTTAATACATACTACCTCCTTGAAAAAATTTCAACTATTTTTTGACTAGATTCGAAAATTACCTAAAGAGTTTTTTTTTCTGTAAATGTCGGCCCCTAGTTCTTCTTCATTTCAATGAAATCTCGTACTACTTTTCCAGAATCGTTAATATGGCATGTGACAATTTTTAGGTTTTTTTTAAAAATCTAATTTTCACACCTAATATTTCGAAAATCTTGGTTTGGAACCATTGTTACACTGTTTTTTTTTGGAATCAGCTCATTGATTTTAATACATCTGGATTTTTTAGCGAGTTTTAAGCAACCTTTTCAAGAGCTTAATTTTTTAATACTACCCAAAAAAATTTTTTTGTTGATTTAGAACCACATAAGGACATAAGTTATATATTTTCGGCTTTATTTCTATTAAATTTTATACCATTATTTGGTACCATTGCTAAGATGACAACTGGTAATTTTTTTGATTTAAAAAAAAAATCAAACCAAATAAGTATTTGAAGAATGTTGATTGGGGATCCCGATCATGTTATGATTTTTGAAATCAGCTCATCGATATCTTACACATCAAAATTTTTTCGCGATTTTCAAACGAATTTTCTAAAAGGTCAATTGTTCAATATCAACACTTTTTATCTTTTGTTTTCATTTTTTTGTAAATTTCGAACTCTGCAACATCCCAGAATTTGTTGTGGGTTTTTAAACAACTTTTTCAAAAGCTCAATTTTTCAATATTGCCTCCCCCCTTATGAAAATTTCGGCCTTCTTTCGAACATCTTCGAATACTACCCTACGATTTTTTTTGTAGATTAAGCCCGCAGAAGTTATTTTTGGCTTCATTTCTTTGAAATTTCCTACTAATTTCCAAAAATTTTGATTTGGGATCATTATTACAGTGTTTTTTGGAATCACCTCGTCAAGATCTGTACACCAGAATTTTTTACCGATTTTTAAGCAACTTTTTCAGCTGCTAATTTTTTTAATATAGTGAATTTTATATCCAATTTTAACCTTATTTTGAGCACCTTCGAAAATGACCTAAAGAGATTTTTCTGCAGTTTTGGACTTCCAAAAGCCGTTTTCGGTTTCTTTTCTTCGAAAACTATTGTCAAAACTGGTGTGGTTTTTTCTAATAACGTAACCCCGCCCATACAATATTATATCGCTAAGATAAGAGTGATTTTGGCAAATGAGATACCCTCTAAGAAAAGAGAGAGCGGGTGGGCGGGGCTAGTACCTGCTAAGATAAAACAGATTTTGGCAAATGTCATACCCTCTAAAAAAAGAGACGGTGGGTGGGCGGAGCTAGTAGCTGCTAAGATAAGACTGATTTTGGCAAATGACATATCCTCTAAGAAAATTGAGAGCGGGTGGGCGGGGCTAGAACCTGATAAGATAAGAGTGATTTTTTGCAAATTAGGTACCCTCTAAGAAAAGAGAGGGTGGGTGGGCGGGGTTAGTACCTGCTAAGATAAGACTGACTTGGCAAATGAGGTATCCTTACCAAGACAGGGAGGGTGGGCGGGTTTAGTACCTGCTAAAATAAGATCTATTTTGGCAAATCACATACCCTCCTGTAATGGAATATGTAAGTTTGAATTCGTTAGTCAGCAAATGCTTGTCCATTGCAAGGAACTAGGTCATCAATAGTGTATAAAAGTGTAAGTGATAGCTAAAACAAGGAAGTGTTAAGTCTGGGTTTGTAGTGGTAATATGGGTAAATAAATGGATAATAAATATGTAGTGGTATTATTAACCAACCACCGTCGTGACTATTAGAGAGGACATCACACTCCAAAAAAATAAAGGATAGAGGGTATATCATTTGGCATAATCAGTCTTATCTTGGCATATGAAAATTCCGAACTTGTTTCGACAACCTTCGACAATTGCCCTAAAAGATTGTTTGTAAATTTCGACCCACAGAAGTCATTTTGGCCTTCATTTCTTCGAAAACTCCCTCCACTTTCCAGAATCATCGAATGAAATATCGATAATATGGTAAATTTTAGTATTAAAAAAAAGACAATCATACCTAAAACGTTGCTTCGAGATCATTAATATGCCAAATTTTTCGAATCAGCAGATCTAGATCTAAATTCCACAAGTTTTTGTATATTTTTAGACCACTTTTCAACAGGTCAATTTTTATATACCTTTTTTGAAAATTTCGACCTTTTGTGATGAAAATCAAAACGAGACCAGATCTGAACTGGCTTAACTCTACTTGACCTGATTTGGCTTCATTTGACCTGACTTAGTTATACCTCACCTGAATAAACCCGACCTAACTAGATCTGATCTAACTAAACCTGACCTGATTAGACTTGACCTGACTAGACCTGACCTAACTAAACCTGACCTGACCTGACTAGACTAGATCTGACCTGACTAAACCTGACCTGACTAGACCCGACCTAACTAGACCTGACCTCAGATACACACCACCGCTGTGCCGTCACGTCCACCTTACTTTTACAAAAAAATCCGTACCCGAATAAAAACAGCACCATTATAGAACTGACATCAAATTGCCTTTAGAAAAATCTGCCCCCACCCATTAAACATCACTTAACACATCGTTTAAAACCAGCCATCCAAGCCTTCTGGACCCTACTCGCTTCAAGTTAATTTTTCGCACCTCTCCTCCCTCGCCGCCCCCGCGCCCCATCCCCGAATCGATCAGCAGCGGCGGTCAGAGCCGGCCTAGCGTGAAACGAATCGTCCGAACGTTCCTCGCCATCTCGACGGAATAACGTTGTTCATTCAAATTACAAGCCATCGTTATTTACAAATCGGGTATTAAACTTCCCCCTCGGCTCTAAGCTCGCAAGTTAATTAGGATTTCTGCGGGCATTAGCGGCAGCGCCACTTCCCACTTTGTAGCAGCTCCAGAGGTGTTTTTCTTGGGCGAGCGGCGGCGGCGGCTTTCCGTCCCTGGTGTTTATGTACGTGTGAACGGAAGCGACCGACCCCCGCCCCGAATTACCAAAAACTCTTCGAGATGGAAGCCGAGGCAGCGGCGCTGCGACGGAAATTGTGTTAAATGCAGCCTGAAATGTTTTTTCAGATGAAAGTGGTCAATTCTACGCGGGCTGCTGGCAGTATTCCAGTTTTTCGTTTGCTTTTTAATATCGCCGGGTGGCTGCTATTTTTAGGGTAAGACGGTGGATGGCATTTTGTGATGCTATTGATCTCTTGCGGAGCCGCAAAACGTTCGTTCGGTTCGGTTTGAGGGAAATGCGGGCCGGCTTCGGCAGGTCGCGGCGGCGGAGGACGGAGGCGGGATCGGGCAGGGAGGAGGACGCGGCAGGTGGAGGTGACAAAAACCGACAAAAAATATTTCTCGAAAATCAGAACGATTCTCCCTTCGTCGAAGTTAGTTATTTTCAACACGACGAGGCTACAGCGCATTCAGCATTCAGGGAAGCTGTTTTATGATCGTAGGCTCGTTCCTCATGAAAATACCAAATCTGAAATTTTTTTGAGTCACCCGTATTTTTATATTTCTTGCAGTGACGTCCTTTCGCTTGATCATTCAATAACGGATTTGGTGAGCCAGAATAAGTTGTGTAGTTTAGTGTTAATACCACGCACAGGTACATATTGCAAAAAAATTCAAATAATAATTGCTATATAATAGACATAACAATATATAACATAATCATGCTTAATTAATTCGTCCTTAGCGTTCGATTAACTTCACTCAAACAAACACAGTCACGATCATTAGACTTTGCACCTGCAGCAATCAGTTCCATAAATTATCTTCTAAAAATACCCACCCTTCCCGTCCCCCTTACCCCATTCCGCCCCCCGCAAATGGATATTACCACTTCCGTCCACTGTTTTAACCTTCATCCCGGTCCCAAAACTTCGAGGACAATTTTCTTAATGCAACTTTATGCTAAAAGCCACTTTAGCCCAACAATATTATTTAATGACGTGTCGCTCACCCGGACACCTCGCGACAATCTACCAAATTACGTTATTCCATGTACCATGGCGACATCGGCGCGAAAAACCAGAGCGCCGACCCCGACTAATTTTCAAATTGCGGCGAACGCCAATGGCGATCAATCGGCTTTCTCTCGAAAACAAACGTTTGCGGAAATCGCAAAAACAACTCTGGAAGCTCGTCCAAACGCCTCCCGCATTCTGCAGATTCCGCCGGCGTATGTTCAGTGTCAAAGTCAACTTATTAAACGCATTAAATCGTGCGCATGTGCGACTCGGCGTGTCAATGGGTTTATCTAGTTGTGTTAATGGGAGTTTAAATGTTGTGCGCTAATTTGCTCGCGAAGAACAGGTGAAAGTTTATTTTCGATTCGTGGCGATGGAAGGCGAGGCAGGTGCATCGGGGGTGTGACCGATCCGAGTAAGTTTAAATTTAAGGCGCATTTGCGCGTTTTCGTCGCCGAAATATCAAGTCGGACGCAAATAAGAACGTGCTGGAGAAAAACTGTGCTCTGGGTTGCTGTGGCACGGTTATGATTTATCGTTTCGAATAAATAGGCGAGAGAGATGGACGAGTCGTGGTACGGTGATTGAATCGACTCATTAATGGCGGTTTTTATGGGCCGCTCGAATTTCCTATGCAATAAAATGGTAAATGGAACACGCAATTGGATCGTGCAAAATTGACGAATGCAGCAGAATGATGAAAAAAAAAAAATTAATGGGGTTATCGGGAGCGAAACGTTGCTGAGTTGAGGAAGATCGCCAGTTTTCGAAACGTAGTGATTTTTAAACTGTATTGTTTTAAACTGGAACACTTGAACTTTGTTATGAGATGGAATTTAACAAAGGCGGCGATTACAACAACGCGTGCACTTTATCGAGATAATCGGTCTATTTAGCACACAGTACGATTCCAGTGGCGGCGTCGAAATTAACGTTTCTGAGATCAGTTTTCTTTTAAAGTATGCCATTGTATGGTATGGGAGAATTTTACTTGACGATTGATCGTTTTTTCGATTTTTCAGTTTCTCGATTTTATTTTTCTTTTTCTTGATTTTTAACTTTCCAGTCTTTCGATAAAAAAAAGAAAACAATTTTTAACTGAAATTTAGAAAAATTATTAACAAGTAGATTTTGCATAAATTTCTCTAATAATTTTGAATCGAAAAATCGAAAAGTTGTAGAGTCGAAAAACTAAAAATCTAAAAATTGAAAAATCGAAATTTGTTTGCTATTGACACAGTATAGCTCCTAGTATAGTCGTCGAAATACCCAGCGTCGCCATTTCTAGTAACTCCAAGCCCAGAGAACCATTTTATCAGAACCCAGATTTAAAAGTTCAGAGCCGCACAAATACATATTTTTATTTATTTTATCGCATTGAAGAGTACTAGATTGACATCAGAAATAAATACGTTAAAACCAAGCTGAGAACACTTGTGTTTTTCCATTAATCTGTTTTACAATCAGAGGTAACAACAGTTCTAAAATTATTAACAATATTTTTAAAACTGAAGTGGCTAAAAACCATCAAACGTTATTTAAAATTCTGACGACAACAAACACAATTAATCGGACAAAACGTTTAATTAATTTCCCGCATTTCCAATATTTTATACTTAATTAACACCGCAGCAGGTCATAATTATCCCAAGACCAAGTATAAATTTGTAATTATGCATGTCGACTTTTCAATTAAAGGCCATTAACTAGTAATACCTGTTTCAACGAACCCTAATTACGCTATGAGAATTTATAGTGTCAACAAATTTTCAAAAACCAGATCTATTCCAAGAAACCCGATTTTTGAGAACATTTCTCGTCTTTTAGTTCACAGTAGCCAAATATTTTTTTTTGTATATAGCAACCTCGTCTGCAATAAACAGACCCACATTCGTTGTTTACACGACACTTTCAAAAACTCCCCATCACAATAAAACCCGCTAACAATATTTACATTTCGACTTTTTCGAATCCTGCTTGCAAGTGCCAAAAAGCTCCATCAATCCGGATAAATACGCCGAAAATAGCCGCCCGTAAATCTAAACTACGCAAATCCGACTTTCGAAATTTGACACCGCCGATGCAAAAACGCACACTTCAAAATAAATATTGGAAAAGGACGAGCTCATGGTGGGACCGTGACAGGTTTCCTGTTTGCAAAACGAGACAAATTGCATCAGACTATTTGCATTCGATAAGTAAATACATCATGTTTATTGAGTCTTTGATCGGCTGAAAGCGATTCGGCGGTGTAAAAATAGCTCGGAATAAGGTTATTTCAGTGTTAAACGTTGCTTGTCCATGTGGTTAATTGCGAGTGAATGTTTTATAAGGCAGGTAATAACAGTGTTTCATTGTCGAAGATTTACCTTTCGATTGCAATTGGTGCTTACGTGACTCGGCGGATTTTGTTTTCTGTGTTGTCGTGAATAAAAATACGGGGTGACTCAAGGAGCCGTCCGCAGGCCCGCATTAATCTCGCCTTGTGTAAATGATCTAACATCGTATGTACGTCGGATCAGCAAAGAAACTCGAACAAACAGATGTTAAACAGTCGGTCCACAGGGCGACCTTTAAACAAATAAAATTATCTCGTTGAGAAATATTTGACTTATTCTTTAATTCTGCGACATCATTATTTTTAACGATCGTTAAACATTTCTTATTATCTGGACGCCTCGAGGACTGGACGTTGACCAATCGTCGGCTTTACAGCGAACTTATTTAATTCGTCGACGCGACAACAACGCGTATCGCGTTTCCAATTTACCGCCGCACCTGAATGGAACTCGAATAAAACGTGAATAATTGAACATCAAACACACTTATTGAATGATCGTTTTTGTAATATCTCATTTGCTACGAAAATAGCGCCTCCCACACGTTTCGTCGTCGAGAAATAAGAGTTTCAGAAATATTCGCCCTTTTAACCTTTCAAAGACATCGATCGCATTGATGAATTGACAAATAGGACGACTTAGGAAAAAGGCTCTTTCTGTTCGAAACTTCTTCTTCCCACGCAGACGTTTGAGAGCCGTCAGGTTTTGTGTAAATTGTTTTGTGGAAGAAACGAGTGTTGACATTTAGATAATCCTGACAGATGATTAGTGTAAGGCTTGTTTAAAAGATGAATGGCTGAAAGAAAAGAAAACTTGTTAGAATCCAGGACGGATTGAATGATTTATTTTTTTAATGTTTGTATTCTCGTTTTTTACGATTTGTTTGCCGTTAAAATATGCGAGTGTTATCTCGGGTTTAGTCATCGGAAAAAACAAATAGTAGTTATGACAGTCCTACTGCGAAAAAATATGTATCTTGTATGTTGTACTGATAGCGTTATTTAATTAATGACATTGTGTTTTTTAAATATGAATCTACGATAATACAACTAGCATTTTTCATTTCAACGGACGATTTTTCCAAAGTTCAGTAAGTGAGTTTCGCAATTGACCATTTATGAATCTCTTCAAGGATGTAACTGACGCATGAGGACATTTTTTCCTATTTTGACGCAGTGTAAAAATTGTCAGACAAGCTAAAGGATTAATTTGAGAACATCAAATTTGCATACAAAGAAGAGAACAATGGAAAAGTAGGTACTGTTTTCAGGCAGGCTTATAATTATATATAACAATATGCTAGCAGGAGATATCTAGAAAAGAAACCGGTACCCGTAACTTTTTTCGACAGACGAGACTTTAATTCCATTAATCGATTCCTAGAATTTTCATTTCATATTACGACATTCAAAAAAACCTTCTCTGTTATGTGCTAAAATCTGTGGAAATATGGTACAAAAGCAGCAATTTCTGTTGAAGTTAAAAATAAAAATAATTAATGGACAAAAATAATACTCCCTCTGACAAAGAAGGTGCGGAATTATTGTATTCAGACTTCAGTTTTAATTTATCATTTCTTCTTTAAATGTTACGCTCGTGCTTATTAAAGTTAAATTAAATTTCATGTTTCTCCCCCTTAAAGCTCCCTTAACTCCTTGAGCTTCTCCATCTTTTTCATCCAGGTTATTTCCTTCCATTCTCCCTCACTTTTTGCTCTGATTTTTGATTTTAATAATTCTTTATTTCTTGTCTCTGGCCTTCTGCCACTTTTCTATGTGTGCCTCTGTCTCACTGTCTCTTGTTTCTGTGCGCCTCCAACTCTTGTTTTCGTGTGCCTCTGCCTCTTGATTCTATGTACCTACCTCTGTACTCTTATTTTATTGTATCTCAGTGCCTCTGAATCTCATTACTCTGTACCTGTGTGCTTCTATCTCTTGCTTCTCTATAAATCTTCCACTTGTTTACATCTACCTCTAGTTGTTATTTCTGTGTAATTTTTTTCACGCCTTTGACTTTTTTCTGTGTACCACTGACTCTCGATTTTTTTTAGTTCTGTCTGTTGTTTCTCTCTAACTCCTAGTTCTTATGTGCCTTGTTTCTATGTGCTTCTGACTCTTATTTTTTGTGCCATTTCTTATTTCTGTCAGGTTGTTTCGTGCCTCAGTGCCTCTGACTCTTATTCCGTATGCCTCTATCTCTTGTTGTCAGAGCTGTTGTCTCGTGACTCAGTGCCTCTGTCTTTTATTTGTCCAAACTTGCCTCTCATTGTCGTGTTTTTAATTCTCTTGCACTACGTGCCTTAGTCTCTTATTTTTGTGTGCCTCTGTCTCTTCTATGTGCTTCTGTGACTTACTTCTCTGAGATTCTGTCTCGTGCCTCAGTGCCTCTGTCTTTTGTTTCTCCGACTTCTGCCTCTTGTTTCCGTGTTTCTTACTCTCCTGCATCTACGGGCCTCAGCCTCTTATTTTTCTGTTTCTTTGTCGTTATTTCAGTGCCTCGAGTTTTGTTTCTCTGTACCTCTGTCTCTTATTTCTGTCTGAGCTTCTGTATCGTGTCTCAGTGCCTCTGACGCTTATGCTCTGTTACTGATCTTTCCTCTAGTTCTATTCAAAGACTTTTAACTTCTTATCATTGTACTTAAATCGCTCGCAAATACTTTCTCATTTTTTTTTTAATACGTCCCTGCGATCCGTTCTCCTAGCAACATCCGCCTGACACATCCCCTGCATGCGCCACGTCAAAATAAAGCCCCTTCACAACAAACTCGCTTAGGCAAACAAGACATCCATCCTAACCACTTCTTTTCACTTCCAGGCCCAGCCAGTGGTAAAAGAAACCCCTCGGGACCCCCTCGATCGATCCCGCCTCTTGGAAATCAAGCCAAACAAGGCGGCCAAATCAAAACAGCGAAACACCCCCGGAAAGGAAGAGGACGACGTCGGGGCGCATCCTGCGATGGCCGGCAGGCCGTGATTGCGACAGGACGAGGAAGCGAAGGACGAACCCCGATAAAAAAAATCCCGGCGAGCTGCCGTGCTAAAGAACAATAAAAACAAGTTTTTAATGAGAAAATAAAACCGACGCGAAAATTTATCGTCGCGAAAAAGCCGCTAGGTGCCGTAAATCAGTTTTGCCGGGCAGGAGCGGCGTTTTTTTATAAATCAGGCGGAGGCCGGCCGAGATGAAAGTGGTGGAGAAATTGCAGGCCGTGCCGGAGCCGGAGTGGATCCTGGACAGGACCGGGTCCGGGCCGCTGTATTGGCGGCGCGAGTCCCCGGAGTACAATTCCAGGTGAGGCGGATTTTTGACTTGATTTCTGACACTTTCGTTCAGCATTGTGTAACGCACTCCCGTCTTTAATTACTTTTCGGTCGAAGAACTCTCAGAAGTCGACATTTCGAAAACATCAATTGGATTCCCTCGTAATCAGCTTAACAACCGCCCCCTCCGAAACTTCCCAATAACGGCAACAAAAGCGCCCTTCGCGAAATATAAAAAAATGTACGGCATCGCCGGGCTCGGCATCTCCGTGACCCTTCATTCCTTTCATAAGTCTGAAATTCTTTTTCGCAACAAATTTGATATTTGGAAGGTGGCGAGGCGGCCTCGAAAAATTCCCGAGATGAAATATAAAGAATGCGAAAGTGTTGTTTTTTATGAATCCAAAACTTCCACAGCTTGATTTATACAGCCTCGTAACTATTACGCGAATGTAAATCCTCTCTCTTCAAAATGAATCATTTTTAGTGGCACGTCAAAGTTTCTATAAAAACATTACGAATAACGCCATTTCCATAAAACATAAAGATAAAATGAACGTATAAATACATTTCGGGCTAAGGAAGTCGCGATTTATGGCTACATGCATATTGATATTGGAGTAAAAATGAAATCGATAGGGCCTTCGCCGCCAGACGCGACCCAATGATAAATACGAGGGGCGTCCGAGAAACACTGCCCTACACCCTATACCAACCGGATTAATTCCTTCCAAAATTCCTACCATTTTTCCAGAATCTAAAATAAGAAATCTGACAATTTTTAGAATTAAAAAAAAGATTTCAAACCCAATATTTCGAAAATCCTTGAGATCTTATCACAGAATTTTGTGAATTTTGACTTCTTCTCGAGCAGCTTCCAAATTAATTTAAGAGATTTCTACTTCCACAAGTTATTTTCAGTTTCATTTCACCAATACACTGTTTTTCGATTCAGGATCTAGAGCTTTGGATCACGCTTTTAAACCCAGCCATATAAACAAGGAGCAAGGACTATTATCCTTGTCTCGACGACAAAAAATTATTATTATTGTTTCAATGTTGCTAATGTAGCGGCAACCTTCACTCGTACAGGGCCGTACCACCCCCAATCTTTCCCGAAGCCCCCTCGTAACAGCGGCGATAACCATTTTTTTAACAGCGCCATCGCAAAAAATTATGAGCCGTGAAAGCAAACTCCACTTTGAAGGATGTTTTTATTGCGTTTTTAAGGCCGACGAAAGCTCGGTAAGCACATTTTTTCCATATTTAACTGCTTTGATGTTTACAGAAAATGAATGAAAAACGAAAATAATGAGGAGCAGACGCTCGCGGGGCGTCCTTGCCACGAGCCGAATGCGGATTTGGGGTTTATGGAAGCAAAAACAGAACAATTATTAAAGAGTATAAGCAATAAACGAAAAACAAAAAGGGACGTGGGAGGGCGGTCCGGGACGGACCGCGTGGGCGAGGACGACTCACGATAAATACCATCGAGAAGGGACTTTTCATAATCTATAATAAAGTGGAATGTTGTCGGTCGGGAAAAAGCAATTACACTCAGTGTAACACAATGTAGCACTAATTAGGAGGGGGAGGGATGCATATAATTCTATATTACTAAGGATTAATGTTTTTCAGGGTGAAATTCCGGTTCGACGTGGAGGTGAAGGAGTTCCAGAGGAGCGCCCACGAGCTCGAGGACACCCATCAATGGACGCAGTGCGTCCACGAGTCCACCCCATTGACCGTGGGTCTGACTTGCATCATCTGCCTGGCCGTGACTGTGATACTCCCGTGGTACATCATGATCGGACCCAACTAAACTGTGATGGTGGTTGTGATATTATTATTTAGGTTTTGCACGGACAATTGTGATGCATCTCACGTAAATAAATTGAGTTGCTCTTATTTTCGTGTGTTTGAAGTGGTGTTCTTCGGAGCGTGTTTTATGTCGGATCGGGAGCTAAAATTGGAAGAAGTCTAATGATGCGGTTGAAGTAGAAGATGAAATAAGGCTTTTGGCGTACCGGCAAGAAGTATGTGAGATAAAAGAAGCTCATTTATATCGAATGTCGTAAAAAGTGCAATAACCAGATATTACCTCGTCTTTGATTTATGAAGCTCGGGAGTTGTCAATATTTGTTCTTTTTGGAGGAACGAGTTATCGGAGTGTAACGCGAAGCGACTTGGGGTGTCCGAGAAATGGAATTTACACAATGTAGAGATTGTGTAGTTCTTCGGGTATTGCTGTATTTTAAGGCGTTTTGAATTTTGATACTTTTCGCTGTATTTCGTCGTCGTAAAATTTATTCGGAGCAGTATTTACTACTTTTGTCGCTCGTAAATTATGGTTTTATTTATTGTGTAATTAAAAATATTTATATGTAAGAGTTTGCCAATGTTTGAAGTTCTTAAGTAGTTTTATGACGTAATCGACTAAGTGTACTAAAACTGTTATTATTATTTTAGCGCGACAATAAAAATTAATTGTGGAAAATAGGCCACTATTGTGCTTTAAACAGCATGCCTGATTTGTACGTGTGGTAGCTCTCGCCAAACGCTCAGGCTCCAATTTCACCACAAAAACTACCTCATGTTAACAGCCCCGTAGCTAGAAAACTTATTCAGGGGGGGGCAAGTTTGTCGACAGAGGGGGCTTCATGTAAATATTTATATTTTAATAATACACTCAGATAACTACTTTATTTTTTCTGAGTTTTTATATTTGAAAAAGCATTAAAATAATTGGAGACGTCGATTTTTTACGCTAAATTTTCGTAAAAACCTGTCGAAGTCCAAAAAATTAGTACGGTACTTGGTTAAAATGCTGGTTAAAACAGAGAATGTAGATTCACAAACAGCTGTATTGCATCCAAAAATTTGTGTAGTGGCCATATAGGTAACATCCAATTTGTTTGAGTTTATTTTTTTGCATGTTTAGTACATATTTTAAAAATCCGACTTCGAAACCAAATATTTCGAAAATTTTGGTACGGAACCATGAACTCGTCATGTTTTTTTAAACTGGTCGAGATGTGTATTTCAGAATTTTTTGTCAACTTTAACAAAAGCTCAATTTTTGGAAACCCATATAAAATTTTTGACTTTTGCCAAGCATTTTCGAAAATTACCAAAAGAATTCCTTTGTTCATCTCGATTTCTTCCAAAAATCGTTTTGGATTCAATTTTTTTGAAAATTCTTACATTTCTTGCAGAATCGACGGAAGAAAAATGGCAATTTTTGAGAACCTGTATCAAATTTTTGACTTTTTTCAAGCACGTTCGAGATTACCAAAAGGGATTCATTTATTGATTTCGATCTCCAGATGTTGTTTTTGGTTGTTTTTTCGAAAATTCGTACAATTTTTCCATAATCGCCAAAAGAAATATGGTAATTTTTGAGAAATTTTGAACATTCCAGCTCGAAACCGAGTATTTCGAAAATTTTGATCCGGAACCTTGAACCTGTCATGTTTTTTTGAGCTCGTCGAAATCTATATTTCAGAATTTTTTGTCAACTTTTACGAAAGTTCAATTTTTGAAAACCCATATAAAATTTTTGGCTTTTCCCAAGCATTTTCGAAAATTACCAAAAGAGATTCCTTTGTTAATCTCGATTTCCAGAAATCGTTTTGGATTCAATTTTTTTTGAAAATTCTTACATTTTTTCCAGAATCGACGGGAGAAATATGACAATTTTTGAGAACCTGTGTCAAACTTTTGACTTTTTTCAAGCACGTTCGAGATTACCAAAAGGGATTCATTTATTGATTTCGATCTCCAGATGTTGTTTTTGGTTGTTTTTTCGAAAATGCGTACAATTTTTCCACAATCGCCAAAAGAAATATGGTAATTTTTGAGAAATTTTGAAAATTCGAGCTCGAAACCGAGTATTTCGAAAATTTTGATCCGGAACCATGAACGTGTCATGTTTTTTTAAGCTCGTCCAAATCTATATTTCAGAATTTTTTGTCAACTTTTACGAAAGTTCAATTTTTGAAAACCCATATAAAATTTTTTACTTTTCCCAAGCATTTTCAAAAAGTATCAAAAGAGACTCCTTTGTTCATCTCAATTTCCAAAAATCGTTTTGGATTCAATTTTTTTGAAAATTCTTACAATTTTTCCAGAATCGACGGAAAAAATATGGCAATTTTTGAGAACCTGTATCAAATTTTTGACTTTTTCAAGCACGTTCGAAATTACCAAAAGGGATTCCTTTATTGATTTCGATCTCCAGATGTTGTTTTTGGTTGTTTTTTCGAAAATTCGTACAATTTTTCCATAATCGCCAAAAGAAATATGGTAATTTTTGAGAAATTTTGAAAATTCCAGCTCGAAACCGAGTATTTCGAAAATTTTGATCCAGAACCTTGAACCTGTCATGTTTTTTTAAGCTCGTCGAAATCTATATTTCAGAATTTTTTGTCAACTTTTACGAAAGTTCAATTTTTGAAAACCCATATAAAATTTTTGGCTTTTCCCAAGCATTTTCGAAAATTACCAAAAGAGATTCCTTTGTTAATCTCGATTTCCAGAAATCGTTTTGGATTCAATTTTTTTTGAAAATTCTTACATTTTTTCCAGAATCGACGGGAGAAATATGACAATTTTTGAGAACCTGTGTCAAACTTTTGACTTTTTTCAAGCACGTTCGAGATTACCAAAAGGGATTCATTTATTGATTTCGATCTCCAGATGTTGTTTTTGGTTGTTTTTTCGAAAATGCGTACAATTTTTCCACAATCGCCAAAAGAAATATGGTAATTTTTGAGAAATTTTGAAAATTCGAGCTGGAAACCGAGTATTTCGAAAATTTTGATCCGGAACCATGAACGTGTCATGTTTTTTTAAGCTCGTCCAAATCTATATTTCAGAATTTTTTGTCAACTTTTACGAAAGTTCAATTTTTGAAAACCCATATAAAATTTTTTACTTTTCCCAAGCATTTTCAAAAAGTATCAAAAGAGACTCCTTTGTTCATCTCAATTTCCAAAAATCGTTTTGGATTCAATTTTTTTGAAAATTCTTACAATTTTTCCAGAATCGACGGAAAAAATATGGCAATTTTTGAGAACCTGTATCAAATTTTTGACTTTTTCAAGCACGTTCGAAATTACCAAAAGGGATTCCTTTATTGATTTCGATCTCCAGATGTTGTTTTTGGTTGTTTTTTCGAAAATTCGTACAATTTTTCCATAATCGCCAAAAGAAATATGGTAATTTTTGAGAAATTTTGAAAATTCCAGCTCGAAACCGAGTATTTCGAAAATTTTGATCCGGAACCTTGAACCTGTCATGTTTTTTTAAGCTCGTCGAAATCTATATTTCAGAATTTTTTGTCAACTTTTACGAAAGTTCAATTTTTGAAAACCCATATAAAATTTTTGGCTTTTCCCAAGCATTTTCGAAAATTACCAAAAGAGATTCCTTTGTTCATCTCGATTTCCAGAAATCGTTTTGGATTCAATTTTTTTGAAAATTCTTACATTTTTTCCAGAATCGACGGGAGAAATATGACAATTTTTGAGAACCTGTGTCAAATTTTTGACTTTTTTCAAGCACGTTCGAGATTACCAAAAGGGATTCATTTATTGATTTCGATCTCCAGATGTTGTTTTTGGTTGTTTTTTCGAAAATGCGTACAATTTTTCCACAATCGCCAAAAGAAATATGGTAATTTTTGAGAAATTTTGAAAATTCGAGCTCGAAACCGAGTATTTCGAAAATTTTGATCCGGAACCATGAACGTGTCATGTTTTTTTAAGCTCGTCCAAATCTATATTTCAGAATTTTTTCTCAACTTTTACGAAAGTTCAATTTTTGAAAACCCATATAAAATTTTTGACTTTTCCCAAGCATTTTCAAAAAGTATCAAAAGAGACTCCTTTGTTCATCTCAATTTCCAAAAATCGTTTTGGATTCAATTTTTTTGAAAATTCTTACAATTTTTCCAGAATCGACGGAAAAAATATGGCAATTTTTGAGAACCTGTATCAAATTTTTGACTTTTTTAAGTACGTTCGAGATTACCAAAAGGGATTCCTTTATTGATTTCGATCTCCAGATGTTGTTTTTGGTTATTTTTTCGAAAATTCGTACAATTTTTCCACAATCGCCAAAAGAAATATGGTAATTTTTGAGAAATTTTGAAAATTCCAGCTCGAAACCGAGTATTTCGAAAATTTTGATCCGGAACCTTGAACCTGTCATGTTTTTTTAAGCTCGTCGAAATCTATATTTCAGAATTTTTTGTCAACTTTTACGAAAGTTCAATTTTTGAAAACCCATATAAAATTTTTGGCTTTTCCCAAGCATTTTCGAAAATTACCAAAAGAGATTGCTTTGTTCATCTCGATTTCCAGAAATCGTTTTGGATTCAATTTTTTTTGAAAATTCTTACATTTTTTCCAGAATCGACGGGAGAAATATGACAATTTTTGAGAACCTGGGTCAAATTTTTGACTTTTTTCAAGCACGTTCGAGATTACCAAAAGGGATTCCTTTATTGATTTCGATCTCCAGATGTTGTTTTTGGTTTTATTTGGTTGAAAAGTCGTAAAATTTTTCAGCAATCGCCAAACGAAATGTAATTTTTGAACTTTGAAACCGAATGTTTCGAAAATCTTGATCTGGAACCATCTAGACCTTGTGTTTTTTGATTGAGCTCGTCGAGATCAACATTTCAGATTTTTTTGTGGATTTTTAGTCAACTTCAACAAAATCTAAATTTTTGAAAATCTATAAAATATTTTTGACTTTTCCCAACCGTTTTCGAAAATTAGCAAAAGGGATCTTTATCGATTTCGATCTCCAAATGTTGTTTTTGGTTTTATTTTCTCGAAAATTTGTACAATTTTTCCAAAGCCGCCAAAAGAAATGTAATTTTTGAGAAATTTTGAAATGTCGACTTTGAAACCGAATTTTTCGAAAATCTTGGTCTGGGACCATCAAGACCTTATGTTTTTCGACTAAACTCGTCGAGATCTACATCTCGGAATTTTTTGTTGATTTTTTGTTAATTTCAACAAAAGCTCAATTTTTGAAAATCTAGAAAAAAAATTTGACTTTTCCCACGCATTTTCGAAAACTAGCAGAAGGGATCTTTTTATTGATTTCGATCTCCAAATGTTTTTTTTTTGGTTTTATCTTTTCGAAAATTCGTACAATTTGTCCAGAGCCGCCAAAAGAAATGTATTTTTTGAGAGTTTGAAATGTCGACTTTGGGAGCGAATTTTTGAAAAATCTTGGTCTGGGACCATCAAGACCTTATGTTTCTTGATTAAGCTCATCGAGATCTACATCTCAGAATTTTTTGTCGATTTTTTGTCCATTTCAATAAAAGCTCAATTTTTAGAAAATCCATATAATATTTTTGACTTTTCTCA